CAGAGAAACAGGGTTCCTACAAATGTCTAAGGATACTTCTAGAATAGGGACTGGAGAGTGAGGAGGAAAGCGGGCAGATAGACACTGCTTCAATGAAAGTAGCTCCATGTTTATATCTTTTATGTACTGAGGCTCTGTTTTAAGTTTTGATGAAACTGTGTTCCAAGAGTTTTCTCAATGACAAAAATGGCAACATTATTATGAGAATAGCTCTTCAAGAAGGTACTTTTCAACCTTAGGATTTTATGCTTATAGATGGGTTTTCACAGGAAAATGCGCCTGGGTTTTTAATGTCTTGTCATGGTAGAGAGAGTCTCCTTTGTGCTGTAAATAAGCAGAACACTATTCAAATATTATTTTCCCCTTTTTCTCCTTTACCAAAGGTACCCTTCATCCACTCCTTTTTCCCTTCCTGATTTTCTTCTCTTCCACCTTTTTTTCTTTCTTTCCTTTCTTGTTAATATGGAAAGTGGTGAAAGTTGTGAAATACTTAAAAGTAATTGTATAAAAGAATAAAATACATCTATCTATGCATTTCTCTGTATCTCTGTATCTATGTATTAACACTGCCTAACTTGAAAATGAATGACTAATTAGTATAACTGATGTGGACAATATATAGGACCCCGGGAACTCAACTTGAGGATTTGTTTACCATTTAGAAAGCCAGGGCAAATGACCGTTTCAGCTGAGTTTTTGCTGCTGCTGCTAGTTTATAAAGGATTTTTGAGAGCAAATGTTCAGATTAAAGAAATTAATCGATAGCCATGATTAATAATATCAGTGGAGAAAATGTACAAAACAATAAATTATGATTAATTTATTCTATACATATAATTTAAAAAGAATTTTGGTTTTGTTTCATTCTCTTCTGTTACCCCAGTGGCATTAATTCTCATTCCATAACACACCAGCCTCATTGACTCATGTAAGTTTTCCATATGTGTGTGTATATGAGTGTGTGGGGATTGTTCATTTACTAACTCATTCATTTCTTTCATCTCATTTTCTCTCTCCATTTCCTTCTTCTACTCATGAGCAATTATAACTTATGATATGTCTGTCATTTTTGTAAAATATATAATGTTAATTGGTACAAGTATAATTTCAATATACATAAAGCATCACTGCCCTATAGACCAGATGCTGTTTCTCACCTGTTTTTACTTATTAAATGGTTTTAAGATGGATCTACCTTTTGGTGTTAATGCCTGTTATGGCCCTTTTCTTGGACACTCTGCCAGCTATTTCCACCTTGAGCGTCGACTGTGCACTCACTGCCCACCTCTCCTGGTGCCGTCCCCTCCCACAAATAGACACACATGAAGATTTCTGGGTCACAGAGTGTACATGTGTATAACTTAATGATATTCTGCAACATTGCCCTCCAGAGGGGTACACTTAGTCATTCCCATTAAAATAATTGCATGTTTGTAAATTGTAATCAGACAGTTGTTTTCTTTTTGTCTGATGTCATAGTCTCACATCGCAGAGTGGGGCTGAAGCTGAACAGGCATCCAGCAAGTGTAATCTCCCTTGGAGTCAGGGTGCCTTAATCCTACATCCTGGTCAACCCATGGTATTTTCTCACTTTTAAACTTTTTGCGAAATGATGAGAGCTAAGTAGTTATCTCATCATTGCTTTAATTTGTACTTTTTCTTCACTCATGAGTCTGGGGCCTATTTTGTATATGCTTTTGACACTGAAAATTCCTTCTCTGTGAATTATCTTAATTTTACGAACTGCCAAGATATTTGTTTTCTTCATAATAGAATATCATGTTTGTTAATTTTTATGGCAGCATCAAATATTAGATGCAAGGTGGTGATCATCACATAAATAGCTTATTGTAGAGTGGCTGCTACATGGTAGGTCCTGAAAAAATAGTTGTGGGAGAAAAAAAAGTCATAGGTTTTTGTGTGATACACATTTGGATATACCTCTAAGAGTTCATCTGATAACTCAATAAACTTATTCCATAAGGTGTTTGTGATGTAATGATAAATATTAAATATGGACAGAAATAACATCCATGGAATCATACACTATAAAGAAGAGCATATAATAATTTTAGGAGCATATAAAGTTAGGTAATCCCAGAAATTATTAAAAACACATGGTTGAGAAAGTTTTATGTTAATTGATTTTTTTAATTCAAACATTACCTGATTATTGTCTTTTTTGATTTTTAATAACATGCTAAGTGTAAGATGGTGAGCAGCAAATTCTGTTAAGAACTGTTGCACGTTTAATAAAAATTCAAATTATCTCAGTTTTCCTGTTAAGAGCTATTAATATAGGTACTTTCAAGGGATTTAATTGAAACAAATCTGGACAGTCTAAAAGCTAAACAATTCATTAATATACATGTTGATATAATTTAAAATAAAGAAAATGTAATTGTTTACTCATAAAGCCAAATAATAGATGTAATCATTCATGTGTACACTGTCTTCTAGGAATTAGTTCTAAAACGAAGTCACTAAAAAGTTGTGTTAAGGGGCACCTGGGTGGCTCAGTTGGTTAAGCATCGACTTCGGCTCGGGTCATGATCTCATGGTTCATGAGTTTGAGACCCACATCAGGCTCTGTGCCGACACCTACCTCAGAGCCTGGGGTCTGCTTTGGATTCTGTGTCTTCCTCTCTCTCTGACCCTCGCCTGCTCACGCTGCCCCTCCCCTCTCTCTCAGAAATAAATAAAACATTAAAAAAAATTTTTTAAATGTTATGTTAAGATTGGCTATGTTTCCATTCAAGTGAATTAAGTGATGAAATACCACTTTAGTGAACCTCAGTGTAGCGTGATCATGTTCAACAAATTTTTACATGCATTTTAAAGTAGTTTTATAAGATTTTGCAATTAACATTTTCCAGAATATTATATTTGAAATCATACCATAATTAATTCTCACAACTACTGAAACCTTGTTATGAATTAATAAGGAGTGATTGGTTATATTCACTTGGTTATTTTAGAATAAATGACCTACAAGAATATGTTAGGGAGTTGGAGAGGCAATGGATAGGGACAGTGTTACTAAATGGCAATGTTCAAGTCATCACATTCCCTGTAGCACCTGATGCCCACCATTGGAACTGGGAAACTGAATGAAGAGAAAAGAAGTTGAGCTGGGCGACCATGGAACAGAACAGATCATGGAGCTTGTGACCTCATGTGTATATACAGGCCAGGTTCTAGTTATTTGTATATTTTTCTCAGCAATTTATTCATGACCCTAAGTAGTTTCCCCATTTAAATACTAGAGGCATTTTAAATTTCATTGGATAATTATGCTTTGTAAATTTCCCCCTTCATTTTGAAAGATGAAAAACGAGCAAATTAATCCAAGAGAAGAGGCATGAAGATTATGCAGCTATTTCTTTTCATAGAATCTGCTCTTCCCGAAAAGTGACAATGCAATTATAACACTATAATTTGTTTCCATTCGAAATCATCTGTACATAAATATGCTCTTTATCCTGACTTTTAAAAAAGTGTGTTTCTCAGTGTGCTCTTCCTTTTGCTGTGCTAATTTTTTCTGTAGTGGTATCATCATTGTCTTTTATGTAATTTTCTCATTTTATATGTACAACAGCCTGGAATTGTTGAATTAAACCTAAGGCCCATCTGAAGGTAAAGTCTTCTTGGAGTAAGTTATAGAAAAGCCATTTTTGTTGTGTTATTGTGGACATTTTGATGGACTTCTTTTGCCTTTTCACTGTAGTAAAAGTATTTACCTTACTTGTTTACAGCTGGTAATATGCTTTCTGATGTATATCAGAATCATTAAAATTTTTGAAGACTCAGTTACGCTATGTTTAGAATTTTCCACAGAAGCCAGTGGTGAGCACTAGGGAATTTCACATAGACCTCTGTGAAGCTCATTGAAAACCTCACTGTTCAGCAAGTATTTCTATTTATTAAATAAAGCCTACTTATTGCAGACAGATATTTACTTAGGTAGAGCTGGTAGCATTCCTAAATATCTGGGCACTATAAACTTTGGAAATCTCATCTAACTTATATCCATTTCACAGAGCTCCATATTAGGGCCAGGCGATTCTTGCCAAACATGCACCCCTAAGTTATTTTGACAGGTCATATAAAACAGATGAAAGAAATGGAATTTAAAATGTTGGAGTATTATGTTATTACTTTTTTAAGTAAAAAGTATCTTTCTAGATAGAAAACATGAAATGCCCTGTAATTAGTCTAGCAACATAATTGATGCGATCCAGTGCGAAAAGAAAACATAGAGCTCTGTGTTGAAACGTTGTTAAGAATTTCAAAATGACAACAGTGAAGCATTAAACCAAGCCCAGGCCCTTCTGAGCACACAGGCTTGTACTTCAACCCAGGCTACACACACACACACACACACACACACCATGAAAACTGCCGCGCCTGTAACATGCCTGCTGATACTACTCAGGAACACCTTGCATGCATGCAGTGAAGAAAAAGAAAGACCTACCCTGCGGAAATCTCTTTTATCTGAGCAAAGCTGAAGCAGTAGCAGTTGCTCAAGGGGAGCCTCACAACAAACTACTAATGACTTTCCCCCCTCCCACCTGTTCCATGATGGAATATGGAAGTTTATACTCTTCGAGATACTTGTTTCCCATGAAAACATTATATTGGTACTTGTGATTTTTTTCCTACCCAAGATTGGCCTAGCAATATATATTCAATAATGTTTTCTTTATAAAACCAGAATGAACATAATGCATGTGTTTGGTAATATTTAATAGATTTTCATAAGCAACATTTTGCATGTCATATTAGGCACATCTAATGTGTTTGGGTAAATGATTAAATCAAACTACATATGGTTGTGGGATTCATGTTCAGAGAACTTTGAACTGATAGTCTCTGAATTGGTGTGCTGAGTTGGTTTTTAAATGTGGAGCCCTGTGTATCTTCTCTGCCCTGTGGACCCAGACTAGAAATACGACACTTTTTTTTTTTTAATTTTATACTTCAATTTGTCTTTTTAGGGATGCAAGTATTGGAATGGAATGGAATTCCGTTAACTTCTAAAACATATGAAGAAGTGCAAAGTATCATTAGTCAGCAAAGTGGGGAAGCAGAAATATGTGTAAGACTGTGAGTTTTTCCCCATCTTTTTGTTTCCATTTTTTGGCTATTCATGGCTCTTTTAATTTAAAATTGTTAAGGTGGAACCTTTGCCAGTCAGCAAGATTTCAGTAATTAGAAAATAAAGTGAATACAAGTTTTATAGATTTCTTGTGTTCAGAATCAACATCTAAAGCATAGAAAGAATTCAGCTAATTTTGTTTCTGATATTTTCACTAGTTCTCCCCTTTCATGCTTTTATTGAAACATGCTTCATTTAAATGAAAGCCTAAACCCATTTAGGTTTCATGTGTGTGTTTAGTATTTCAAAACGAACTTACATTTAATCCATAAAGATTTCACCTTAAATAATCATTTTTGTCAGCTGACTTTTAACAGCATTGCAAATATATATTTGGTTAGAAGGGTGAACATGCTTGGAAATTGCTTTATATCATTAACCACTTCTCATTTACCTACTGGAAAAACAAACTCAGGGTAGTTGGACAAAAGGGACTTTTGTCTCAGGTTTCCTTAACTTCTTTCTTAGCTTCTCTGTTCTAATTTTTAGGGACCTCAATATGCTGTCAGACTCTGAAAATCCCCAGCACCTGGAACTTCATGAGCCACCAAAAGCTGGTAGGTGTGGATGTAAATGTAAACTTTGATGTAGAGGCAGACGGAGGTGTAGATGAAGATATAAACAGAGATACTGCATGGGCAAAATTCTAGTTATAGACTAATCGATGTTTATTTATGTAATCGTAAACAAAATCAAAGCATGGTAGCTATGTTTTTAGCCTTCTAGGGAAACACATGTTTGCATATTAGACCCATTAAAGAAATTCATACAGAATTCTTGCTGTGTGAGTTCACATTTTTCACTCTTTAAAAAATAAATTCATCCCTTCGAAGTAATCCACGGAGCCATTTATTTTCAGTTTTGGGTAATTTTTAGATGATATTTGATTCCTTTTAGCATAGGATTATGGAACACTTATTCTTGAACCTTTTGTTTGTCTTTAATAGTGAATAAAAAATCAACATGTAATTTCATAAGTACATGAATAGATTTTACCCTCTCTTAGCAAACAACTATTATCTTATAAATGTTGATCAACTGTAACATTAACACTTGTTTCATTAACTGTAACATTATCACTTGTTTCTGCGTTTAACAAATATTTATTGAAAATTTTTTATGCTACAGCCAGCATTCTGTGAATCTGGGTTACTGCATTAAAGAACAGACCAAGGCCTGTAGAAATTTTTATACATCTGTGAATGTAAATTATTTTGTCATCGAGAACTCAAATAAATTCCATGGTGTTAAGTACCTATGAAACTGAGACATACATCGCCATTTCATTTTGTTGTAGTGGATAAAGCAAAATCCCCGGGGGTTGATCCGAAGCAGTTGGCGGCAGAACTCCAGAAGGTCTCCCTACAACAGTCACCACTAGTTCTGTCGTCTGTTGTTGAGAAGGGATCTCACGTTCATTCAGGTCCAACATCAGCAGGATCCAGTTCCGTCCCCAGCCCTGGGCAACCGGGGTCACCCTCCGTGAGCAAAAAGAAACATGGCGGCAGCAAGGTGAGAACGTTCAGCCTGACCTCTGACTTGTGAATTTTCTAGCTCCTTATTCACACCGGGACAGAGGAAAGGCGCTCTCATTTTCTGAGGTGTTTCTGTTGGGATGTCTTGTTTCCTAATGACCCACAGACACACACACAAAATTCCATTTATTAAAGTATAACCAAGCAAAATGTTATGAAGCTGATGTGGTTTTAGATTTTTTTAAATATTTTAGCAGTTATTTTTATGAGGAACTTGAAAAATGTGTCTAACGCTCCCTATATCCTGGTTCTTTTTCTGTAGAGATCTTGTGTAAATTTGAGCCTCTGTGTATGGAACATTAGTTCTGCATCTTTTTGGAAATAAGATATAGATTACATTGGACTTGATAATACAAATAAGAGGTAAAAAAAAGACCCAGAAATAAAGAGAACTTAGGACAATAAGAAATAAGAAAAACCAGTAATATAGAATTTCCATTTTGAATTGCATCCCTAATTCCATACTAATAAATCTCTCCTTGTTGCAAGTCTTCATTTGTAATAAATGTTTCTAACATTAAAATTTCTAAGGCACTAGGGGTTTAAAAGAAAACATAGAATTAATTTTTTAACCTTATAAAAGCAGATGACAGTGTAAACAATTTGTAACTTTTCCCTCATAGATTTCATTCTTAATGGAGAAATTCTTTTATGGCCAAAACTATATTGGAAAAAGTTTTGTTTTCTTTAAACATAGATAAAGATTTCTCTTTACTTGGTAAGATATATGGGAGGGACAGGCTATACTTGGGTAAACTGACTGGACTTCAGAAAACAAAGTTTGTTTCACATTTGAGATGTCCCCTCAAATCTCTTTTATTCAGAAACAAACAACAAAGGTAGGATGATCTTAATCACTGCATCATAGGATGACATATCGCAAAATAAATATAGCAAGGCCTTATGAAGAATGGTTAGATTCAATTTCAGTACAAATGTTAACACAATTGTATATTATCACATGCAGTTATGTGTTACTTTTCAAGAATTACCTCATGGAAGCTCCCTGTCTTCTGAGTTACAGACCAATATTTCTCATTTCATTCTTGGTATCTTCAGGTAGAAGGCCACAAGAAATGACAAAGTCTGCTAACAGAGTTTCCGAACCAAGGACATAGTTCTACAAGTTTCTCATCCTAATACACACATATATACATACATATACACATATACATACATATACACAAACACATATATATATTAGCAACTGACATCACCATCCTCCCAGGAAATTAAGTAAAATGTTGAGACCATCATTACCTTCTCTTTTGTCTTCATTCACAATGTCTGATTAGACACTGAATCTTAATCCTGAGAATTCTGATTTTCTGTTAAGTCTTTAGGAAGTTTCTGTCTTCTTTGAACCCACCAGTTTTCTGTGGCAAAACATTATTTCTTTTTCCAACATTATTGCACTCGCTACTGGTAACTCCACTCACCATTCTCTTTTCATTACTCTTAAACTACCCCCCAACTGTCTGATCTCTGGCACAGTGACCTGACTGGGTCAGTAGCCTGTTTAAAAAGTATCCCAGCTACCTAGACTGTTGACTGCCTCACCTGTGCCTGGGACCCTCTCCTACTCAGTCTAAAAGGGCTTTTCCTTGGGAGATTATCACAGTAAGCATAATGTTCAATGTTTACAATAGCCTTGCTAATAAAAACTTTCTATATTAGAGTTTCCAACTCATTCCTACTTTCCACAGACATTTTTTGGATAACACCTTCAGGGCTCACACTCTGTACAAGACACAGAGATGGATAAAATCCCTTCGATGTATACTGGGTAGAACAGTGGTTTCTAAAGTGTTATTCCCAGTAACTACATCAACATCATCTAAGAACATGTTAAAAAAGCAAATTCTTGATCTTACCCTATGTCTTTTTGAATTAGAAACTGTGGGGATGGGATGAAACAGCCTTGGTTTTAATAAAATCTCCAAGTGAGTGTGACGCCCCTTGTAATATAAAAGGTGCTGATCTAGGGCACCTCGGTGGCTCAGTCAGTTAACCGTCTGACTCTTGGTTTCAGCTCAGGTCATGATCTCACAGTTTGTGGGACCCAGCCCTTCATCGGACTCTGTGCTAACAGCAGAGAACCCGCTTGGGATTCTCTCTCTCCCTCTCTCTCTGCTCTTCCCCCATGCTCGCTCTCGCTCTCTCAAAAATAAATAAATAAAAAAAAATACAAGGTACTGATTTAATTACAGATGAAGAACGATAGGGAAACAAATTCAGTGAAGTATAAAGTTGGATGTCATGAAGTAGTACACTGAGGGCATGTAGAAAAGTGGGGTGAGGAAAGCTGGGGTTTAGCTAATGAACTGATTCAGTAAAGGGATAAAAAGAAACAACATTCCAAGCAGAGAATGCAACATGGAAAAAATCTCAGAAACAGAAATGACGTGCCTGGGACATAGGTGTACAAAAGATACAGGAGTAAGAAATAAAGGAGAAGCCTAGATGGTTGTAAATTGGAGGATATTGTACGCCATCCCTGGCTTTTACACTGCAATCTGGAGGAAATGAAGAGCCAGTGATAAAGTGATTGAAGCAAAAATGAAATAAAAGCAGCATGAAGCCTTCATCCATGAAATCTTCCCATATTCCAATCCTGCCTTAAAATCAGAAGATACCCTTTCTCCCTTTTCTCCTCCCTGCTGGACACAAAGTGTCCAGTGTTTACGTATCTCTTAAGACATTTTGTATCTTGATTGTAGCCACTAGTTTTCTTATTTTATCCTCCCCATTAGGTGACAAGCTCCTTAAGAACCAAAAACCATTTCTCATTTTCTCCATGCTTTCTAAACACATAGTGGAGGGGCTTACACAGAACAGTAATAAAATAAATAAATAATTATTGTGAATTAAAACGTCACTGGCATTTGTGAGTCTCTGTAACACAGAGGTGCAGAAGTTGTTTTTTTTTTTTTTTTTTGTAATAACTGTTTTGGCAAAGATTAGATGAAAACAAGTATTGTATAACAAGCATCAAGGAAATAATATTGACATGTTTTATGATTTACAGTAATTCTTTTCCATATCAAGAATGTAGACTTTGTAGATTTTACAGCACTTGTGGTGGAATAAAATTTTATAGAGTCGTAGTGTCTGTAACTGTAGCCACGTGTGACAATTGAGCACTTGAAATGTGGCTACATTCTGAATTGAGATACACCGTATATATGAATTAATACCAAATTGTGAAGACTTAGTATGAAAAACAACAATGTATATTATCTCATTATAATTTTGATATTGATTTCATTGTGAAATTATAATACTCTGAGTAAAGTGGGTTAAATAAAATATATTATTAAAAATTAATCTTACCATCTCATTCTTGCATTTTTAATGTGACTACTAGAATATGTAAAATTACCTCTAGGCTCATAATATGTTCTATTCAGTGATGATATAGAGATGACTTACTCTTACTAGTAATCACAGTAATCCCATCTAATCACTTTTCAGATATATATGTATATAATATAGTTACATTCTTAATCAAAATATATAGTCATTAGATGCTGTACTCTTGAAGAAAGAGACTGCATTACCTCTTCACCTTTTGGGGTGTATATCGTTAACATTTAACTGGTATAGTGTCTTGAAATGTTTTTGCTGAATGAATGAATGAATGGATGCATGAATGAATGAATTTAATGATACTTCCTGACCCATCAACATGTAGTATCCATAAAAGGTGATGCATTTTTTTCATTTGTTCTCCAAATCCTATAAGGTTAAAGAATCTATATTGAGAAATTATAAAAATAGTGACTGGTGGTCTGAAACTTACATATTCCTGAGTCATGTAATGTGTCCGAAAATATCATATGTTCTTCAGATAATTTATGGAATTATAGCTTTAACATTTTTGTGTTTTCTTCAGGTATGAGACTAAGTATTAAATTATAAAATATTAATGTAAGAAGTGTATTAAAACTAAAATGTTTAAATATCATTTGCATAATTATATACTTAGGTGTTTAGAACATCATCTAGTAAGTATTCTAAATGATTACTCATAGGTAATTATTAATTGGTTATAATACTCTAAATGGTTTCTTCTGAGTAAATGTAGTTAAAATATGCACCTACATTATTTAAATATATGTTTGAATTATATAAGCTATGTATATGACTATATCAAATTGTTACTTTACTAAAACCATTTCAATATGAATCTTCAAAATTTTTATTTTGCCACCTCAAGCTCTATTGTATCTGAAATTCTTCTTCAATTTATCTTTAAAGTTTGAATGATTTCTTGCAAGTCATAGTATAACTCAATGATTCAATTAAAGTACTCATTAGTTTTAAATGTTCTTATGAAATAGGTCATTGGTCTCCCACACTTTTCTGGTCATAGAACCCTTAACATCTCACTAATTTTTTTCACAGCTCTCTTATGCCCAAAGACATAACTAAAACAGTTTTACCTATTAAATAGTTAATTAGTATTTATGTCCTAATTTCTGAGTAACCACTGGAGAAAATAATACATATAAAATGAAATAAAAATAATGCATTTGTTTCATTGTTAACAACTAAACTGCACTTCATTGGGCTATTGTGCCACTGATGGACATTTTACAACTACATAAACCATGAAATCAGACAGCCGCTACCGATGTGATTGCCTGTTCCACGCTTAAAGCACGGATTTTCATGAAGAATATTTTTTATCACTGAAATCAGTAAAACAAGCTTCACAAAGATAATGGTATCCTTTGAAGGAAAGTAGCTGGCTCTCGTCCTTAAATGTCACTACCTGGAGCTCGTAGTTTGCTCCATGTCCAACAGATACTGATCTCTTTCCTTCCATAATTTAAAATATTCCTCCAAACCCTTTTGGGTTTACTGGCACACCCAGAACAATTAAAAGTGGTCCATAAATTTATACTTGGCCCTAAATTTAATGATATTTGCATGATTACATGTCAAGTGAGCTACAGCTGTCAAAAAGAAATCAAAATAATTTACTAGAGTAATCACTTAGCTTTGTGTTCTGTGAGAGTTTTTTTGGCTTTTGTGGGGGTTTTTTGTCTTACATTTTTACTTCTTATGTTAGTTATTCTACAGTTTTTCTCATTGGAATGCAAAGGAAGCTGGTTTTAGGAAAAACCCTGTCTTTAATCAAGATTCCAATAGTTTCAGAAACTTCTATGTCCTTCTTCTAGATTCAGTTTGCTTTTCTTTAAACTTAAACAGTAAAATAATTTTTAAGTGAATGTAATTGTTCACTAACTGGCAGGTTATCTTTTGCAGCTGAAGCATGATTTCAGTATTAATGGATGGACATTTTTATTTGTTTATTTCTTTTTGAGAGAGACAAATAGAGGAGAGTGAGTGGGGGAAGGGCAAGGCGAGAGAGGAAGACAGAGAATCCCAAGCAGGCTCCACCGTGTCAGCTCAGAGCCCGGTGAGGGGCTCAAATCCATGAACCATGAGACCATGACCTGAGCCGAAATCAAGATGCTTAGCTGACTGAGCCACTCAGGGGCCCCCAACGAATGGACATTCTTAATAATGAGCTGAAGTAAATAATGGATACATGGGCTAGAACATTTAATCTCAGCTCTATAATTTTACAAAGGTTACATGATTTTTAGTTCTTAGATATTTTGTAAAACAAGACCTGGAATATAGCTGTCTTCTTTGGATTGCTTTCATTTATTGGATAAAAATATAAAGGAAAAAGTGACAACAAGTGCATCCATCTAAATATTATGGATCCTTGCAGGTTAATTATTAAAACAAAGCAAATTATGTACATGTAGGCAGACAGGGCTTTACTTTGAGGGTAGCAGGCTTGCCTCTATTTCAGTAAATATCTCCACCTGTTGACGCCACATTGCCTGAAATTCTGTTACAGATCTGGAGTCCAGGACATCATCTCTCCTTTCGTGCAAATATTGCTTGAAATACAACACGTCAGCAATCAGTCAGTTTTTTAGCATCCTGAACCAGTTTATCAAGTCACATTCCTAACTGTTTTTAAGGCTTTACTGATGTAAGGAACTTATTAAGTAAGTGAGAACTTGTAGAGAATAGGGTAGAACAGTAATTGAGGAATGTGAAATACTACGAAGTGATTGCCTGGGTGCTTCACTCCAGAAGGCAGCAGGGAGGGGTTGGCCACCCATCGAAGGCAAGCAAGAATAGGCTTCTGTGGTCTCTGCTCCCAGTCAGTCAGTCTAGAAAGAGTCTATCCTTTCGCTAAAGGTCGCTACAACCTGTACATACTTAAATCGAATGCTTTAAACCAAAGTATTTGTTTCATTAAGTAATTGAAAATACAGCCCTACAGGTATAAAATTAGAACTTCCAAACAGGCTGAACAAAATGAAAACTAGATTTATATATCTATAAAATTAAACAGACATTGAGAAGTATAAGTAGATACCATGATCTGAAACAGCCAAACGGATGAAATACACTTTCCAGGCAGCATGCTCTGACCAAATAGAAATGAATTTCACAAGGAAGTTGAGATGGTAAGTTTTATGAAGGGCTTATCCATTAATATATGTTTTTAATATTGCAGCCTACTGATGCAGCCAAGGTTGTCTCTCATCCAATTACGGGGGAAATTCAGGTATGAAAGTTTTCTTTAACAATCATCATTATACCATCTTCTTTGGCTCTTTCTTCTCCCCTCACTGGTCTATTGAAATTGTAAACACTGTTGGAACTTTTCCTGGTTTATATGTGCAGGTAAAGGAAAAATACAGTTTTATAGAAGAATATTTTAGTACACTATACGGTTTATAAAATCTAATTATAGGTATGGAACTCTATAATTTGAAATCTGTCTGATGCCTTAGCAGAATCAGTAAGTTTTATGTCTCAGTTTATACTTGTTGAATGTGTTTCAGACAGGACAGATTATTCTGGAAATGTGAAGGTTCCTCTTTAAGAGTTTCATGAGTCCAATACTATTCTCTTTTCTTCCTCCTACCAACAGTTGTTATATAATTGTTGAACAATTCTAGAGTAGTGTTTTTCATGCCAGGGGTCATAACCCATTTGTAATTTGTAAAATCAACCTAGGGGATTTAGACTAGGAAAACAGAAGAAAAATAGTGTAAATCACTATCTTTTTTAGTTCTATATGTATGTGTTTCTGTAGTATATTGTATCCTAACGTGTATTTCTCACTGTGAGTCATAGTCAAAAATGTTTTAAAAATGTGCTTTAGATTATACCAAAAGTAATTCAGGATAGATAAGAAAAATCACGTAGAAAAAAGTAACACGATGTAAAATAACTATGTGAAGATAGTAAGTTTCAGATAAGGGGGACAGAACACTGAGTCTTAGCTGTGTCCCCAACATATTCTAGTGGAGATTTTCATGAAAGAATTCACTAAGGACAACAGACTTGAACTAATTTGTGAATCAGCACAGAGAAAGGGGGAGTGTGTTCCTGGAAGAAGCAACGTTTCAAGGAAAGGTTCTGCCGGCAGAGAGTAATCAAAGGGAGAGATCAGCTTTGCTGCAATGAAATGTTCCTGTACAGATAAGTTGAAACCAAATTAAAAAGAACCTTGCACACCAGCTGAGGGTTGTTAGCCACTACAGTAGGGTGATCAGTAAATATGGTGGAAAAAGGGAGAGACTAATTGAAAGGGATATATAATAAGATTTCATACCTCAATGGTCTCCAGGAAAGCTTATAAAGGGGAGGACACAAAGACAAAGAAATCAGTGCGGTGATTATCTAGGCTCACACTGATGAAGGCAAAAGCGGAGGGCGAGCACGTCATGGAAAGAGGGACAGAATGCAGGCACCTTGCCGCGCAGGACCCAGCAGCTTGAGCCTTGTTACCTCTGTGCTGCACATCTCGAATTCCTGCTATTTCTTTTTTCTAAGAAGCCCCAACCTGATCTTTCTATATTTCACAAGGAGCAAAGAAAATGCTAGAGTTTCTGAGTTTCTGATCCACAGATTTTTCTCTCTTACCCACCCCATGCATTTTTTTTTTAACTTCTTGCTCATGGACCAGCATTCACTTGTTTCTTTTTTGGCTTGTTATTGTTTGTTCTTCTTTTATTTCCTTTTCCCTTGAGCAGTAATATTTCATTGTCTAGTGGAAACTCACTCTAATAACGTTCCTTCTTAACTCGCAGGCTATTTTCTTTTCTTTTTCAATATTTTCTCATGATCGTGATTTCTGTTTTATTTATTTATTTTCTTGTAGCAAAACCTTTTTGCGAATGGAACCTTACACAGACATCCAAATCTCCCAGCATTGGAGTGAGGCTGGTGGAGGGTTCCTGGGGACGCTTCAGTCTGTCTCAGAAGCTAATCTGAGCAATCCTAAGTGTTCTCTAAGGCCCTGCAGCATACATTTTGAAAAGCACCTTTTAAGGGTAGCCTGTAAGTTTTCATTTCAGTAAGAAATGGTTTTCGTGCCTCATCAGATAAAAGTGGCTGGCAAAGAAAAGAGTCAATGGGGGAGAATGTCTCCTTCACAGTTTGGAAACTGTTCTAAATCTCAGTGAAATTAACTGCCGAAATACTCTCTATTCCAGTACTCCATTAGAGTCCACAATTCTGCAGTTCCAAACTTCCCATTTTTTCCCCCTTTGTTTTATGTCACATCACTTTCAGGATGGTCAAACTCTGAGCTTGTGCTGTGTTTAGAGAAGCAAATGAAGATTCTTTTTCTGCCACAAAGGATAACCGGATCAAAATTATGCTAAAGTTAGGAATTATTTTGACTATCAAATTTTAAGTAGAGTTTGACTCAGGGGCATCTGGGTGGCTCAATTGGTTAAGCATCTGACTTCAGCTCAGGTCATGATCTCACGGTTCACAAGTTCGAGCCCCGTGTCAGGCTCTGTGCTGACAGCTCAGAGCCTGGGGCCTGCTTCAGATTCTGTGTCTCCCCCTCTCTCTGCCCCTCCCCAGCTTGTACTCTGTCTGTCTGTCTGCCTCACTCTCTAAAAAATAAATAAAACATGAAAAATTTTTCTTTAATAAATAGAGTTTGACTCCTCTAAATTATCCCATTTTCAACATTAAGCATAGCATACTTGTTTTGTCTGATTATAAAAACTAGGTTAGAATTTTTATTTATGGACTTTTTTCCTTTGAAATACCAAGTTCTTTCTTTCTGTTATTTGGTAAACAAAAACACCATCAAGCAAAATTGAGGGTTATTCAGAATGCTGCCATAAAAATCTTTACATTTTGAAGTAGAAAAATGAGTTAGTTCCATGATTTTGGATTATGTGGGCTTCTGAAATTATTTATTTGAATTATTCATCTTTTCCTATTCAGTGACAACTGTGTAATAGCCATTCAGCATTGAGGAGGCAACCCCTCTTCTTTCCTCTGCAGCTTTTAAAATCAAAGAACAAGATTTTGTTAATCTCTGACTCCATTAGAAAAGCAGGTACAGGAAAAAAAAAGCTATAGGTAATATAATGTAATATAGGAAGAGAGAATATCTACATATTCTTAAGTATTCTTACATTTCAGACTAACAGCTCTATCTTTAAATAACGATTCCATCTACTGCTAATTATTTGGTGAAATACAAAAGACATTTTGTAATAAATTTACCAATTAGTTAACTTATTTCCAAAGTCCTAGTAACTGTATTCATGAATGCTAACATTTACTATTTTTCTAGGAGCTTACATTCAGTTCAGAAATGCCACTAGCATTTACTGTATGATTTTTCTTCTAATTTATTAGAAGAAATTTTAGACAGGCCAGAACTTTAACCATGGAAAGAATGAACAGCATACACACTAGTAATTAGCATGTGCCTGAGCGCTCTCAATTAAATTAGGCATAAACTAGTCTGTTCAGTTTCAAATAAAATGGAAATGAGGGTTGATGCTCCTCATGAGAATAAAAAAAAATGCTGGTAAGTTATTGAATACTAACATGGGTTTTTAAAAATAACACAATGATATTCATGGGCTATTTTGATGTCCCTTTAAGCTTCAAATCAACTATGATCTTGGAAATCTCATAATCCACATTCTCCAAGCAAGAAACCTTGTTCCTCGAGACAACAACGGCTATTCGGACCCCTTTGTTAAAGTATACCTTCTTCCTGGGAGAGGGTAAGTGAACAAACAGTGTCTTTTACGTATTGCATCCCATAGATTCAAACATAGTGTTGGTGTTTCCAGTCTATAATTTTAAAGAGTTTAATGTATCTTCCTTAGCTTTATTCACATATTTATAAAATGGAAATAAAAATGAGTAATTAAGCCTTAAAAGGTTAGGGGAGCCTTGATCATAAAAAAATCTGTCTTGATGAAGCAGTCAGTATTTTGAATCTAGAAAGCTCTATAACCTGTTAGATGGATTGTGAAAGCATTTAAGGAATATTTTGTGGCAGATTTAGTGACTTAGCTTACCTTTCCAATTTCACTTGTTAAACTAATGTTCAAGACTCATAAGTTACTGTTTTATTTTATATTATTAGCTGGTACATTACATGTTCATTAAGTGACTTATTAATATATCCTTATTTGTATGTGTATTTTCAGATCATTGTTTTAAAAACTATAAAATAAGAATATAAGAGTAATATTTGAAATGTTGAATATTACATAAATATTTAACAAGTATGGTAAGCATTTTGTAAATGAAAACTATCTCTGAATCTCATGTGATATATAAGCAAATGCTCTAAATGTGACATATAAGCAAATGCTCTTTAGAGATGTTTAATTTTCACATGATAAATGCAAATTGCTATGTTCTAATATATAAATCAGTACTCAAGGACGGTTTCAAAAACAGTAATGTGGGCCCAACAGATCATTATACCTTACCTGAACAATTTCTATTAGCCAAATTTGCATCTTGGAACCATAAATAATCAACCATTGGAGGTATGATAAAAAGAATTTGAGGCTGGTAATTTGAAGGCTCCGGTTTTATTTTTATTCATTTTTAATTTAACTTGAGTAACATTTGAATATTGCTTTATATTTGGAAAATTTGAATGGTTACACATGAGAAAAAGAATAGTATAATGACCAACCCCATACTCATTACTTAGTTCCAGCAATTATCATCTCCCACCCAATCATGTCTCATTTTTACCCTCATACAATCCCCTTATCCAGATTATTTTAAAGTGGATCTCAACTATTACAACTTTTGTTTCTGCAAATAGTCATAACACCACTTATAACCATTATAATTTTAAATGTTTAGATAATTCCTTAATTTCCCCAATTACCTCATAATATTTTCCTAATTGGTTTGAAGTTCTAATTGATAATTATAGAACATTCTTCCCATCAGTACAGAATACATAAAGTGCCCATGAAACAGTCACCAGGATAAGCTATCTTTTGGGCCATAAAATGAACCTCAACTGATTTAAAAGCTTTGAAATCATACACCGCATGTGGTATGACTATAGTTGGTTTGTTTGAACAGGATCCAAGTTAGAGTTATTCCTTGTCTTTGAATCTGCTCTTTGTTGACTAATTATATCACCACGGGCAGATCACCAGTACTTTTGAGATTAATTTTTTTTTCCTATTGACATTGACAGAGCCAAGGTGAGCAGAGAACCAGTAAATAGTTTTGCTAGGAAATCAAATATAGGTAATACTCAGAAAATAATTTGAAAATTTCTAGGTACTAGATCAAGTTGTGGATGCAGCCTGTACTTTTATCCTAATAATTTTATTTAGAAACTTAGAATTGCTGGTGTTTGAGTTCTCATTTTAAATCATTGCATTTAATTTATAAGGATCACCAGCTAGCCAGATAGCACAGGAAAGGAGAATTTTTATTTATGTTAATTTATATCATAAGGAATACAACTGTAATTTGGCTACTTTTTTTCATGTGAGTATAACAATAAATTGATAGCTTCATTCTGTCTTTGGGTCATTAGGCCTTCAGTGTTATTTAATGATAATATTATGGGACAAGAAGAAATCACTGCCTAGGGTGTATCTTTAATTGGCAGTTGCTAATGAATGAATGAAAATAAAGCAGTGTCTTTTACTTTCTGTCTTCTCTAATAATATCCTGGAGAGTGCCACCTCTATACTATATGAGAGTGCCTCTCTTTTATTTATTACAGGGTATGTTTCAATTAGACTCTTGCAAACTTGAGTAACTGGAAAGGGCAGGCAGGTAACATGAATATGTCAGTCATTCTGGGGTGAGTAACAGGGGACTCCAGTGAAACGCAGAGTGAGCTCCCCACCTCGAGCCATCTCCATGTATTTTGTCCCACAAAACAAGCCTGCTGGGTGGGATCTATCAGCTAATAAGCTGCCTCTATTCAACTTGTAAACCTTTTATTAAATTACTCCTAATTATTACAGTGGGCAAGGCCTTGGGGTTTATTCCATTTAGGTTGTATTATTTTCACTTTAGCTCTGAGATTGTTTTCTGCCTCATGTTATTTATATGTTCTGGTATAGCTCCTCTGGTTATTATTCTCATATTTTCTTCCTTGTTTCTGTTCCTAACTTTTTTTTCTTCCTGTCTTTCCAACTTGCCTGTTGTATCCTTCACTCTCACTCTGGAATCAATGCAGTCAAGTCATGGTTGTCCAGAATGCAAGGTAGAGTTGGCTCTCTTTCAGTGTCAAGTTGTGCTGTGATGTCTAGAGTTTGTATGTATACATATGAATGTATACATTCACTGTAGTTCATTTGTATCTTTTTACATGTTGGTATCTATTGAATTAGGCTACCAGAAAATTGTTCTGATTACATTACTAAAAAGGCTTAGCAAATGTGTGCAGTGGAAAAATGGAAAAGTAGAAAAAAATGGAAAATAATGGAAAATTTTCTGTTGCAAACAGAAAAATACGGATAAAGAAATACCACCCTGAAATTAGATGTACCTAGTTTTCAAATATAATTTGTCCACTACAATTCATTTAGCTTCTCGTGTGATAACCATGGCTTCAGTGCTCCTGGGTCTATTACAAATAAAAACAAAATCTAGATTCATTTCTCAAAAGAAATTAACTGATCTTCTGGATGTCCTGTAGTAGACATGGGATCTCATCTTAAAGACCGGAGTTTTGTGGTCCTTGTCCGTCACTTAGACCTGATATTGAAACATTTCCGTGTCATTATAGCTTCTGCCCCACTGAGGATTTGCTATGCAATAGAATGCCATAATCTGCCTGTTCTAGCGTGTTGGCAACAACACAAGAGCATCCTTCATTGTTTGCCAATAGTAGGAAACTCTTTTCTAAGAGAGTTCATAACTCGTTACATCATCACATTGTTACCTCAGAGTCTCTCTTAGATACATAACTAGAAGCATTCTTTTGCACATTTCATTACATTATATACTACATGTGTTATGTATTTAGTCGGGAAGTGAATCTTGTACCATCTGTAGCAATAAGATGGTGAGAATTTAAATCCCATCCAAAATATTAATGGTACAGGATTTGTTTTCATCTGTGACATTAACATTTGACATCTTTTCTAATCCTGACAAGCTGTTGCCCTAAAGAGGTTGTTTTTGATTTTGCAAGGCATGGATATTTAAATATTGTAAAGAATAGGATCAGTAACCACACCCTTTCTGGTGGCCAGAAATTGTTTCCTTGCAGCCACTTAATCGTGGAAAACAGTAAATTTGATATTCTGAAAGGTTGCTTGCTGTGGCTAGCTCTCTGAAGATACCATCCAGATTTCTCAGACTGATGGGCAAAATTAGTTTGGTTGAGAGAGATAGTGTCATTTTAGAACAGATATTATCAATCACTTTATGCAGAACCTTCATATCCTTTCCTTAGAGAAGCAGGGAGCAGGGGTTGTCAGAATCACAATGGTTGTCTGCATTTAACTTAAAAAAGAGAGTATGTTTTGTAAATGTGAATATTGTTTGAAACAGTCTGGAATGACCTGGTCACAACTTCAAAGATCTAGAAGTCACTTTCTCATTGTATGTTTCATTGAGAAGTCACTTTCATCATCTCTGAGAACTGTCAATGTGAGAAGGAATGATAATGATAAGGTACTGACATTGTCATTTTGGCTGAGGGGGCCAGTGAGTAAAGTCCTAAAGAACTTGGATTTGAATTTTAGCCCTGCATCTTAGAAGTTGTGAGGTTTCTCTAAAATGGCTTCCCCTGCTGCTAAATATAATAATAGTACCCTTCCCAGACTTTTTTGTGAAACAGAGTAAACCACCGAAAGCGATAAGCATAATGTCTGGCACATAATAAACACTCTGTAAATGGCACTTGCTATTATTGCCAGTACTATATACAATTACACCCTCTTTATACCATTTATAATTCCCTAAGCTACTCTAAAACTGGCCTAAAATTGTTATCATATGTGTATATATACAAATATATATGATTTATGTATAGGAAATATATATATGCCCATATATATATTTAAATTGAGGTGAAGAATTTTAGATTGTAGGGTAGATTATAGGGTAGACAACAAAGACAATTCAGCTAATGAAGCCTGCATTTAAGAAAGTTGAGGGATTATTGGGGCACCTGGGTGGCTCATTCAGTTAAGCCTATGACTCTTGTTTTCTGCTCATGTCATGAACTCAGATTTCATGGATTCAGGCCCCACATCAGGCTCTGTGCTCACAGCACACATCCTGCTTGGGATTCTGTCTCCCTGTCTCTTTGCCCCTCCCCTCCTCTCTCTCTCTCTCTCTCTCTTTCTCTCTCAAAAGAAAAAGTAAATAAATGTTTAAAACAAAGTTGCGGGATTATTCATATTTTATGATTGGCTACATCAGGTAGCCAGTGGTCAGTTATCCCTACAGAAAGAGATGCAGAATACTTGGACTACAGAATTACACCAAATTATTTAACATCACTGTATAGGAAACTAAACAACTTTGAACTTCGTTTTCCTCAATAATAAAGTGTAATACATCTGTCATTCTTAAAATTAAAAAATAAAAGACCTTTGAACTGATATGACTTTCACTGGTCCAATTTTCTGGTCTCCTTTCACTTCCTCTTCCCACCCTTGGATCAATATACTCATAAGCTCTGAAAGCCCAAATGTCAGCACCAAGATGAGTTGAAAGAAAGACCAGGAAAGAGCATGAAAAGTACATGAACTCAGAAGTTGCCCCTGAATAATTAAAAAATGGAAATGAGCATATACGAAGGATCCCATTCTGGTTTACTCTCATTACACCATTTAACAAAGTGCAGATTTTTTCCCATTAATGAGACTTTGCTTTGATTGAAGCTGATTTTAGATATCATAATACCTTGAAGTTCCATTCCTGGCTGGACTTTCTCCTTGTTGGCATATCAGACTATCCTTCAAGACCTATGTAAATCAGGGACAGGTGTTGTATGCATTTACAATTCTAAGGCCAAAACTTGCTTCATTTCAGTACATTTTAAGGAGAGAAAAGTAGAAGCATGTTTTAAGGATCCATCCAATAAACATTTCTTTAGGCACATTATCCAGAGAGTGTACTAGTAGCTGAGGTTAGAGTTGACAGCCATGGGCTCTGACTTCAGGGAGCACAGAGGACAATAAAGTGATGTGCCAAAAACACAATACTGCACAGAACAACAGAGCTTATAAAATGGGATATGATAGTAGCTTCTTTCTAAATCAAAGGAAAATCCTCAGAGGAGTAATTAAAAATAAATTTGTGTTTGTGTGTTCCTTTATTGCACTTACTATATTTTTTTAGTAAAGAAATACGTGTGTGTGTGTGTGTTGTGTTTTTCTATATATATGTATGTGTGTTTACGTCCGTGTTGTGTCTTCATGTATTTGTATATGTATGTGTATGTATGTGTGTATGTGTATATATGTACATGTGTGTATATATAATATAATATATATAATTTCCAATAAAGGAAAACCAAATAAAAGAAATAAAAACCTTCAATATTTTAATTCTGTGAAAGTGAAATACAAAGAAGCCATCATATTCCATTCTATTTTCTCATTATTTTTTGAAATTAAAAAGAGAAACTCAGAGCACTGTTTTTCTGCCAGTTTGGGGGAGAATAATTGAATTTCAAATATCTTTTTGTGCCTGCCTCAAAAGCAGATCTACTCAGGAGAAAATACCTGGTCAATAATTAAAAAACGAAAGTGAAAAGAAATTAGTCAAAACTTCAAAAAGAGAAAGGTTAATTTTTCTTTATTAGCACCATGTACTATCTTGATTAATTGACTTCTTATTTTCCCTTGTTAAAAATCTTCTCTGATTATTAGATACGGCCTAATTGTCCTAGTATAATATCATTATTGCAATCTTCCCAGGAGGGAATATAGCGTGTTTTCCAGACATAGAAGGAAACGGATAAGGAGCTCCACTTTTTTCTCAGCCTCATTTATGCTCACTTGCAAGAGGCCCTCTGCCTCAGCATCTGTAGCTTGTAAATCCAGATTCTGATATGGATGTGAGAAGTGCAGAGAGTTTTCAGTTATGTGAAGTGGCTCCACAACCCAATCAGATCATGTTCAAGGGGGTCGGTCTGTGGTAGTTAAAAAACAAGTGTTGCTGAGGAAGTGGCTTTGTGTGACCATCTCTGTGTCATAAAATTCAAGTACAAAAAACTGCAAAGGATTTCATGATCATTTACATGGCTCATCCAGGAAGAGCGAAGGCCAGTTGTGTTTACCTACATTAGTCCTAAAAGAAACGAACATTTAGAGTCTAGAGAGAAGTAAAGAATTATATTCATTAATAACATAAAGTTCACCCAGTTTGGGTTATTTCTGAGTGTATCTGGGCAAGATACAATTATTTAAAGTAATCATCCCTGGTTCCACAACAGTGTCTCGGGGTATCCTCCTCAGAGTTTCCTTAAACACTTCCAAAACTTGCCTAATTTTCCTGTATGTGTCTATATACACACACATTGTATATCATTTATGTTACATATATAGGAAATCTATATATCAACTTGAAGTGAAGGACTTTAGATTATATGGTAAAGAAGACAAAGTAGTTACTGCAGCTGATAAAGCTGAAATTAAGAAACTGATGGATTATACAAATATTGTGAACCTAATCAATTGAGTCCATAGAGCTTACATTTAAGAGCAGCAAGTTTCCCTATGCCTGGATCGTGGTCCTGCCAGTGAATAACTATGCCACCTTCTCAACAGACTTGAATTCCACTGATTATTGTTCTTTCCTACCCTGTCTCACAGAATTGCCCGGAGGGTTAAGTGAGTTAGCACATAAAAAGCATTCACAACTCTGCCTGGGAAAAACTAAGCATGGAATGAATGTTAGCTGTTTTTATTTCAATGTGCTTTCTTTATAAGTTGCTTTTTACATATAAACCAAGAACTTTTGCTAAATATATAAGTGAAAAAAATGTGAAAAATTATAGTAACAATTATTCATATTCATAGATTCAGAAAAGAGTATGAATAATAAATCCTTTTGAAGACTTTAATAATACAGACCATTTTCATATATATTGACAATATCTAGAATCTTAGTGAAAATACTGGAGTTTTTATTTGACATTAATTCCCATCTTTTTTAAAAACTATGCATTTGATTTGTTATCATTGAAAAAATAATTTACTACTATTTACTGTATTAAGAACTTTATCCTTAGTGCATCCCCATGACCTCCTTACCTTCATAAGAAAGTCCAAAACAAAAAGAAGCTTTAAAAGTCATACTACCATATGTTTTTCTTCTAAGTATACCTGCCTAAAGAAATAGCCATGAATTCTAGAGTAGCAACCATGACTTGTTATTATCTTGAAAGTGGTCACATTCCTTCTTCCTATGTCATCATTAAAAAAGAATCAACTTGGGCACCTTGGTGGCTCATTTGGTTAAGCATCCAACTTGTACTCAGGTCATGATCTTATCGTTTGTGAGTTCAAGCCCTACATTGGGCTCACTGCTGTCAGCACAGAGCCTGCTTCAGATTCTCTCTTTCCCTTTCTCTCTGCTCCTAACCTTCTGGTTCTCTCTCTCTCTCTTTCTCAAAAATAAATAAAAACATTTTTTAAAAAATAAAAAACTTAAGCTAAAAGGAACATAGTTTACCAGAGTTATTTTGAAATTTTATTGTAAAATATCTCAAGCTTACTGAAAATCATAGAAAATAACAAATACTTCTGTTCTTGACATTCACTTCTACCAAATTTTAATATTCTGCTATATAGACCTCAGTATTTTTATTAAAAAACATTTTATATGTATCCCTGAAACCATTCCTCTGTCCACCTGAGATAACCACTAAATAGAACTTAATACCTATAAATCCCAAGCTATCTTATGGTATTAATATATGTTTATTACATATACATGTATACATAAATAGTTTACTGTGTTACCTTACGGGATTTTAATTTTAAATCATGATAACTTACTTTCGTTATCCTTCTGCAAATTTTTACTCAACTTTTTTTCAAGATTTATCCATCTTGATATATGGAGGTATATTTTATTTGTTTTAACTTCTGACTATTTCACTGAATGAATATATTCCATTTATCATTTATTATATATGCTGTTAGAAACAATGTTACAGTGAATGTTCTTGAGCACATTCCTTGTGCACAGGTGGGAGGAGAACTTCTCTAGATAGAAGTGGAATAAGTCAAACTAGAATTTTCTGGGTGTTTAGGTACATAAGCTTCACCAGTTTCATCTAAAATCCATCTAAATTCAGCTAAAAAGTATGTATAAATTTATACTATCTAAAGTACATGAGAATTCCCATTTCTTCAAATCACTACATATATACTGCCCCAAAATTACTTGCAATTTATCTTGAATGAAAACATTGTCAAATCCTGCTTTTATTTTTGTACAGATGAGTCGGTGAGAAGAGAGAAGGCCGATGCTTTATTTCTTAATTTGGATTCAGTTCACCATGGCTGAAAGATGAGGGAGGTCTTGAGAAACATAAGTTCAATGGTTCTCAGCCTGGGCCGCACATTAGTTTTACCTAGGAGATTTAAAAAATTCTGATACTCAAGCCTCACCCCAGACCTCTTAAATCAGGATGTCTTCGGAAGTGCTGGACCAGGAGCTATGGGTGCAGTTCTGATTGCCCTCTTTGCAGCCTTACAACTCAGATTCCTAGCTGATCCCAGTATGTAGTCAGTGTTGGAAATGACTGTCCTTGCATATGCTGATAAGAAAGAGAATAAAGTCAGAGACAGAAGAAGGAAATTCTGAAGGTTGGTGGTGAACTGGAGCTTGATTCTCAACAGCTCTGTCTAGAATGGATAGGGCAAATTGTGCCAGCAAAACAGCAAGCGGCATTCCAGGATGTGGCACTGCTTGAGACCAGGAACTAGCAAGAGTGAGTCTGCCCATAGTTAGGAACACAACAAATCCACGGTGAGAATCCAGTCCCTTTAGCACCTTGGAGGCAGCTTGTCATGTCAAGGCACATGAAAGGACTCCAGACAAGTAGGTTGGTTTTCCAGACTCAGGTGCCCACCAGAATTGAAGGGTTATCTAGGACGTGAGATTGAAGGCTGGGCAGAAAATTCAGGAAAAAGGCAGTGAAGATTAGATAAAGGGTTACATAGACTAATAGCAACAATGATAATTCAGCCCCATCAGTTGATTAATGTCAGGTATAGATGTTACCATATAGTTCATGTAATTATCTCCTGCATTCAGGAGGGGAAAGATTTCCAAAATTACAGTATAGCTGGAACACTAAAAAGCTTTTCTTTAAAAAACTACTCCAGGGCAAATAAAACCCAAATCATCCAACATAGACTTAAGTTGTCGTTTTTTTTATTCAACTTAAAATAAGGCTTAAGACAGGAAGATGAGGAGATGATTGCATAATGATTTAAAACAAAATATCATCTTAAAATGTCTGCATGCCCTTCCTGTTGACTATGAAGTCATCAGTTAAGATGAATACTCAAGGTAACTCTTTTTTTCTTCTAATTCAGTGCTGAGTACAAGAGGAGAACTAAATATGTTCAAAAGAGTCTTAATCCTGAGTGGAATCAGACAGTAATTTATAAAAGTATCTCCATGGAACAGGTACGCAATGGTTATTTTTCTATGAGAGATTTAGACTAATATAAGAATAGCAATGATAAAAGTATTGAAAGATTGTAGTCTATCAATTTTGCCACACAGACAAGAAAAAATGAGTAAAGGGGCGCCTGGGTGGCTTAGTCTGTTAAGTGTCCAACTTTCACTTAGGTCATGATCTAGCGGTTCGTGGGTTTGAGCCCCGCGTCGGGCTCTGTGCTGACTGCCACCTCAGAGCCTGGAACCTGTTTCAGAGTCTGTGACTCCCTCTCTCTCTGACCCTCCCCCGCTCACTCTGTCTCTCTCTCTCTCTCTCTCTCTCTCTCTCTCTCTCTCTCCTAGAAATAAATAAAACATTAAAAAATTTAAAAAAAAAGAAAAAATGAGTAAAATACATATAAGAAAGCCAGTGAAAGGAAATGGGTACAGTTCAAAGATACCATGAATGCAAATGTGGGCTTTTGACAAAACAGCCAAAATTTAAGCAAAGATATAAGACCAGTGGAACATTTTCCATCAATTATTTCAAAATGTACGTAGTTCAACAGACTAGGCCATGTTTGTCATATTTTGAAGGAAAGTATTTTCCAACTGGCTATATATTTTTAAAACTTTGGCCAATCTCTTTTATTTCTTCCAGATTTATTGAGATATAATTGACATAATACATTGGATAAGGTTATGGTATACACCATAATGATTTTATATGTACATTACAAAAATAATACCTGGCTGTATTTGACTTTCATAAACAATACAAAGCAAAGATTTTAGTGTTTATAAGTGCATTATTAGTGGGCACCTGGGGGGCATAGTCAGTTAAGCATCTGACTCTTGACCTCGGCTCAGGTATTAATATCACTGTTTGTCAGTTCAACCCCAGCATTCGGCTCTGTGCTGCTTGGGATTCTGTCTCTACTTCTCTCTACCACTCCCCTACTTGTGTGTGCGTGCTCTCTCTCTCTCTCTCTCAAAATAGATAAATAAAGTTAAAAATGTATTATTGCACTAAATAATAATTGAGGCCTTTTAAGAATCTGACATTGTGAAGATGAACTGTACAGACCAACACATACAGCTGACTAAGCTAAAGATTATAAAGGAGGTTTATGATTTGTTCTCTGGAAGATTTCTGATTTGATTGTGAAGTTGAAGCTAGGTATAAATTGTAATATGGGTTCTTGAATTTAAAATAAGTTAAATTTACCTGCAGAAATAAGACAATGCTACTTTGTGTCTTTTGATGATTTACTAAAACCAAAAAAACTCTAATCCAAATATTTAATCTAAATAACCTAGACAGTTTTGCAACCTACAAATTCCATGTATTTAAAGAGCACTTATAGATTCTGCTTTTTATATTTAAAATCTGAGGGGAGTGTTAGAGTAACAGGAAATTAGTAAAAGTCTGAGTTCTCTGATGAGCAAACACTAGTTTCGACTATAAAATCATTGATATCTCACATATTTAATATAAACCCACATTTTTAGATAAAATTTGAAGTCTTTTTACATACTTCAAGGAAGTGAAAAGAAATGGATCTCTAATAGAGTTTGATGAAAATGTATGATGAGGAATGGCGTTAATGACATTTTGATTTAAACTGTAGCTCAAAAAGAAAACACTGGAGGTGACCGTCTGGGATTACGATAGATTTTCTTCCAATGACTTTCTTGGTGAGGTGAGCATCTGATTTCCGTTTCCTTATTCCCTGTCATTATGAACTAATTAGAGCTTGATGCAAGCATAGTTTTTAGGTTTATAAGATAACCATTTTGGTTAAACCCCTTTGGTGGATAGGATGTAGTTCCTGATTTATCCTTTCAGTTGATGAATAGTAATGAGAAAAGGTTTTCACTTTACCATTTGATGTACTTTGTAATTACTTTGCAAGATGAACTAGTAATTGTTTTGATAGGTGTTATATAATCGTGCTATGAATCCCATGATTATGCTAAAATTTTGAGATAAAATTTTCATTAAATGAGCTAGATTTTTAAAATGCATTTTCAGACTTTTAATTGCTATTCCTCAGTGCATGTATCAATGACTTGATGTGACATTTTACATTCTTACTTCTTTTAAGTATCCCATGAAAATTCTCTCAAAATATTTTACAAGGCACAACTAGACGTAGGAGAAGACAATAAATAATTGCATATAAATTCACATGAAATCTAACCTCATTATGAAATCTGGCACAGTGGTTAGATCCTGCATTTTTGGTTTGTTTTTTGGGGGTTTTTCCATCAATGATTTTTCAAAAAACGTGTTTTATTTTGTGATCTTTGCTAAAACAGAAGTTATGAATTAATGTTAAAAAATAAAACATTTCTTAAAAAAATAACACCTACAAACCATCTCTTCAAAAAATATGATGTCCCATCCCAGAAATAATAGAAAACAGTATGTAGTCTAGGTGACATGACACCTTGTTTGGTTCCTAGACTCTGTATTTCTCTTTTCCGTCAAAACAAGACCGTGTGACCTTTACTTGAAGTCTCCATGCTAGTACTGCCAGTGGGAATAACAACCTTTGGACAGTTCTAGGCTACACTGTTATATCTAACTTAGTGTCCCATTCTAGAAAACTGATTTACTGTCATTTTTAAAACTGTTCACATGGATTTAGAGCATATAGCCACTGCATTAGTTCTCATTTTTAAAAATTTTTTTTTAATCATCAAATCTAAAATGTCAGCAGGTCTAAAATTCACTATTACTTACAAATCACTAAGAAAGAAAAAACTGCTGAGGTGCCTGAGTGGCTCAATAGGTTAAGCGTCCAACTTGGGCTCAGGTCATGATCTCACAGTTCATGGGTTTGAGCCCCGAGTCCAGCTCAAGTCCCCCATCCGGCTCTGTGCTGACAGCTCAGAGTCTGGAGCCTGCTTCAGGTTCTGTGTCTCCCTCTCTCTCTGCCCCTCCCCCACTCATGCTTTGTCTCTCTCTGTCTCTCAAAAATGAATAAACATTAAAAAAATTTAAGGAAAGAAAAAAATGCTGCCAGCTAAACCAGGACACATCGTAAGTTGTTAGTCATATGCCTCTTTGAAACATCAACTAAAGTAGGTTTTAAAATACAGGGAATAGGTTAATTGCACATCACCCATTCTTTTTTATTTTGTCCCTCTCATAACTAAAATCAGTCTTTAAAAATGATATCCAAGTTAAAAAAATAAAAGATCCAAATTTAGTACTAGACTGTGTTCATTTCACAAAAGAAAGCTTTCTTTCATGAAGAGATTGATTTGTGACTCTACCTTTTTGTATCATCTCCAAATAATTAACAGCCCAAGATTTTACACAGTTCAATTTAACCAAATGTTTATCAGGCATCTCTGATGCACCCAATGTCATGGGTAAAGAAACATGAGGAAGACAGCCTGATCACCCTCAGAGTCATACCGTGTCTTATATCCATGAGTAAATTTCAGGTCGCAGACAAGAGTAATGAATGAATTCTATCAACCTCATTGACTTCCTGCATTTTTTTTTCAGGTACTGATTGATTTATCTAGCACAGCTCACCTCGATAACACTCCTAGATGGTATTCTCTCAAAGAACAGACTGAAAGCCTCGATCACGGCAAGTCTCATTCCAGTCAGGGCAGCCAGCAGCCTCCCAAGCCATCTGTCATCAAAAGCAGAAGCCATGGTATCTTCCCTGACCCATCCAAGGGTAGGAGACATTTCAAGTAGAAAAAGCTTTTGTCTCCTTGTTCATTGAGTAACTTCTTGAACATGAATGCTTGTAGATACAGTATATTTTGAAATGTTGGATTATCTTGGAAAATATGTAATATAATATGCAAAGAGTGATGGATACGGAATCAGGAGTAAAGGGCTTTCGTCTCAGATCAGCCCATAATTAGGTTTAGAGCTTTGCAATCTTCACCTCTCTAACTCTGGTTTTCAAGCAGTATAATGGAGGAGATTGGGCTATATGAGCTGTTGGGTTATTTCCAGCTCTCAGAATCCATGATAGTATGATTTTATAAAACATGTTGGGTTATTTCATAAAGAAAAATAAAAATCCTCAACAGTTCATTGACGAGACATACTCATTGTTACTGTGTATACAGATTTCTTCTAATTGTTTAAAGCCCTAATTTTTCACAGGTATTTTCTTACATATTTTATATATATGTAATCTACACATAATTTTGCATCCTGATTTTTACTTGTCATATCAAGAGCACTTTCCCCCATGTCATCAAAACAATTGGTATGTTGAAATTTACTTAAACCTTTCCTAAATGTGGGACTCAAGCTAATTCTGATTTTTTTTAAAACTCTTACTATTTTTGAAGTAACAATGTCATACATTCTGGGCAATACGCACAGAATTCCCATTTGAATGAGATTTTCCTTTGCAAGGTTCATTGCCAGCTATCCTACAACACATTAATCTGCATCGTAAACTGAGTTAATACCTGTATGAGATAACCGGGTAGTACCTTCCCTAGATACACTGAACTATGTATAAGTATCAACTATAACATTTTATATTGGACCTGAGTATTGCTCCCTTCTCTTCTCAGAAAGTACATCAAGTTGAAAAGTGGTCCTTTGCACATTAGAAAGGAATGGGTCCCCATTGCAAGTGTTCTAGGAGATGGGAAACCACAAGGCCAAGTCCAGGAGGACACTGAGTTGAGAAGATACCCATGGCTGCCATCAGTGATACACATGACTGACAAATGAGCGTAATAGACCATATATGGATTCCACTTTGCCAGATCAACTCTGCCTTGATGAATGGTCTAGAACATCATTAGCATAAAGACTTGTCTCTCTCTCTCTGACTGCCATAGTAAATGTGGGATCTGTATTCCCACATTTACATTCTCTAAAATCACCCGAGAGGTGATTCTACAGTCTCCGCTATTTAATGAGTCCTAGTGACTCAGGCCCCTTCTTCCAGGAATTCACCGTATTTTTACTTACAGCTCCTCTGCGGTGATATCAGCCTTTAGTCTCCTGCCTGGTCCCTACTTGAGGCAGCAGTTGCTTGCTAAACCTATAACTTAACAGTCATTCACGTGAGGGTAGTCAGATGCATTTCCTCTTCTCAAACTTCTCTCTTCTCAACAATATTATCCTTTGGACTCTCCTCCGCCAAACCATTTCCCAGATGTTTAATCACATCACCGAGTAGGGAGCAGTGGCATAAATTAGCCCAGAAGGAAACCGCATTACCATAAATCTTAGTTTCAAACGATGTGAGGCTGGGCTCGACGGGAGGAAGGTCGAACATCAGAGCAGTGTTAACTCACGTTTCACCCTTTTGTAACCAGACATGCAGGTTCCCACCATTGAGAAATCCCACAGTAGTCCCGGTAGCTCGAAATCCTCCTCCGAAGGCCACCTCCGCTCTCATGGACCGTCTCGCAGTCAGAGCAAAACCAGCGTCACCCAGACCCACCTGGAAGACGCAGGGGCTGCCATAGCCGCTGCCGAAGCCGCAGTGCAACAGCTCCGCCTGCAACCAAGTAAAAGACGCAAATAAATTCCTCAGCATGGCAGCTTAATGTTCATCTGTTGCCTCTCCTCCCTGCTGTCCTTCCCTGTCTGCTTTCTGTGTTTGGGCACACCCCGCTCACTCCGTCCTCTGTCCCTGTGTCTGTGTAAAGACAGTATCGATACGTAACTAGGCTCTCTTATTTAGAATTTTTTTTTTAATTTATTGACGTGGACCGCAAAAAAACTGGCTGTTTCCCCTCTGTCTCCACCATCCATCCAACCTGGCTCATAGTACTTGGTAGCTGTGTCCGTGATGTTTGCAGACAAAGCAGTGTTGTGTGTCCTCTGTGTGTGCACTTTAAAATATCCCTTAGAGTACAGGAATTATAAGCCCACGTGGCTGCCAGTTTTCCAGGCATGACACCAAAAGAGCACACACCCAAGCAGTCAGAGCAGATTGGAAATGAGGTTCTTGCATCTGAAAACACTCCAGAATTAGAGGCAGGAGAGTAATACAACCCACAGGCAAATTCTCGAACCTGGAGAGGAAAAGCCATTCCTAGTTTAAAATCCTTCGTGAATTAGGCACGTGAAGTATTGTAGCTTTACATGTGGGACACTTGCTAGTCTTTTGAAAACAAAAATCTGTGAAGAAAATTATGTCTCATATTCCAAACAATTACTTAATATTAATATATGTATAAATACATATGATGAGGCAATGTGACCTCCTTATGGAGCACACTGGGGTCCATTCCATTGGATCACACTTTGCATACACTAACAGAGGATTTACGGCTATTGTTTTCCTAACCTTGGAAATCCTTGGACAGTCAAGATGTCAATTAAAGAGTAACAATACACCCATCTTAATTGCCATCTTTTCATTTAATTTTGAAAATGTAGTCAACTGATACATCAAACCTTAATAAGCACGGAGATTTTACAAATGGAAGTGCACTGTTCCTTCCAAGAGACTTTAGCCAGACAATGGATGTAGACTGATGTTAATCCCCACGTCCCAAAGTCTTCATGTCCAAAGAAACAGCCAGTTTTAACCCCTTTAGTGCTGTGCATGTGGTGTCATTTTGGCCTTTGAAACCCCAACTTAGTGAAATAGAGCAAAAGATCACTTCTGTTTGCATGAGTAACATTTAAGCTGCTTCCATCTGAGGATACATACTCTGGGTTTCCATTTCACCCACACCGCCACAGCAGCACATAAAAGCGGTCAGTCTAATCATACCAGGAAGCAACACAGACACAGCATAGCAGGAATCCTCCCCATTCAAAGAACTCAGTCTGATAATCTGCCTCCACCAGCCAATGGCAGCCAAGACCAAAGCCAGCTAGCCCTCAGGAAGGTGATGTCCGATGGACCAGTCAAGCCAGAAGGAGGTGAGCAGAAAGGCGCTATTCAAAGCACACAGCAAGAACATCCCCCAAATTTAAAGCCCTCCTCTTTTAATTTTTAGACATTGTCTGATGAAGTATGTTTATCCACTTTTTAATGTGCTTTTGTGGGCATGGCATTTCAGGACTTCCTCGTCGCTGTGTAAGTCCCCAAATCAGTCCCATGATATATTGACGAAAGTGATTTGTATTTTTCTATGCACTGGGCATCTTTTGACTTCTGTTGGGAAATAGATTAACAATATTCATATTGCAGAATGGAATGCATGCTACTAACCTAATCTGTTCAAAGCATGACTATAAATATGTTGCATTGTGATAAAAGTTTGAACTGCTCAAAATTCGAATTAGCATACCAGTTGGAATGTAGATCAGTTTCTGTTGCATATTATTTCAAGTGTAACTTTTAAAAAATTCGGTGGATTTTGGAAATTCTTAGAGGAAAGTAAGGGAAAAATTGTTAATGCACTAATTCACCTTTACATGGTGAAAGTTCTCTCTTGATCCTAGAAACAGACATTTTCCACCCATGTTTCCATAGCTGTTAAGTGTATCAGATGTGTTGGGCATGTGAATATCCAAGTGCCTGTGTAATAAATAAAGTATCTTTATTTCATTCATAAACTACCGGGTTCTGAGCCATTGTTATATGATGCAGCTTAAAATGAGTGTGTCAGTCTTTGCTTTCTCATTTGATTCCTTGCAATAGAGTATTTACAGTTCTTGTTCCATTGCTAGTGAGACTTCTAATGACAGACCATTTGGGGAGCAGAACAAAGTTTTATGTCCGAAACATTATTAGCTAGAGGGAAAATTGCTACCAAATAAAAGCACCAAGCGCACATAAACATGTAAGTAAGTAATGGGGCTGGGCTACTCTAGACAATACGTCTGCTGTATCTTGCTCGCACATCTGATCTACTCCGCAGTCTTCTCGGGTTTCTGTTTGGAGGAAGACAAATCCCATGAGCCCTCACTCTGGGGGTGTATGTAAACTTGACTCCATAGCTGTGTTCAGAAAGGAAAGCAAGTTTGAGTCCATCCCTAATTTGACCCCAGCATTCATGCACTTTTTCCCAAGAAAGAGTGCTATTGCCAGTGACAGAAATCCAATGAGGGTGATTATAAAATTGTCTTTGAATTTAATTCAAAAACACTTATAAAATGAAGGGGTTTTTTAAATAGAATAGTGGTGCCCTATTATTTCCCTTCTAGCCCTAAAGTACTTGATTTTATGAGTCTCTACTTGTCACCAAATTAAAATCAAGCCTTATGCTTTCCCATTGTATTTCTCTTTATTCTCTGAAAGCCAGAATGTATAATCTGTTCTTGTCCCAACTAATCATATATTTAGGGGCAATAGAAGGATCTGTGGCCTAAAACACAGTGATGTTTTCTGAATTAGCCTGGTGATTATCACCTATGCACTATGCACAGTTTCCCTTTTCTACTTAGCTCACCAGTACTTTCTAAAAGCACTTACAATCCCACCTCTGACGTTTTCTCCCATCAAATAAGTTCATTTGATTTCTTAATGTTATTCATGTTCTTACTTCAGATAGTCCATAATGACAAAGGTCACAGTAGTCAAATGCTTCCCTCATTTCACACTCTATTTCTAATGATCATGATTTAAGTATTACTATATAAGATTTTGTCTGAGTTTTTTTAGATACGGTTCTTAAAATCTGTAGCAAAATGTTTTTAGCTCCCTTTCTTTGAGTAATGCTGTAATGAATATTCACATACATTTAAGGTGCTGTGACTGAATACCGAAGTCATTCTGTATTGAAATAATCAAGATAACATGGCGTGGTGAACATTTCTTGTTTAATTTGGCATTAACAGATGTACAGAAAGTACCCTATTTTGTAAAACATATTTATTTCCCTGTTACTATAAATGCACCAAGAATATAATTCACCAATGCATTTTGCCAGACAACCAATGGTAAACATGCTATAGGATTAAGTTTATATGAAATGCTGCATAATTAATTGAAAGCTTAGAAAAATTGGTCTGAGATGTAAATGTAGGAAGAGCCAACGAGCTCCCGTTCGCTAACCACATACATTAAGTATCATTAACTTTAGGTGTTCAGGTAAAAGCCATCCATTTCAAACCTCACAATGGAGTTTCTATAGTCCCATCTATTTTCTGCTAACCTGCCCTTCATTTGAATAGTTCTTCACATTCTACCAAGTATTTTGTCAGCCATCTTCTCATTTGATCACACCTAGTAGATGAGGTATTCACTGCAGATAATCTTATCCCTTTATCCTGAGTGAGCAGTCAGAGAGAGGGCTAGGATGATGGGTAGAATGCACACCTAGAAATTTCTAGAATCAGCAACATGACCCTGGCTATGAGGCCTAAACCTTTGCTTTTTGAATACTTTGTCTCTTTTGAAATCAAACTCTTCACCTTTCAATGAAAACAATTGTCATTTACAAATTTGTTATTTATCTCTCAAGGTCTTACAAATGATTAGAGATTGTTAGAAATGATGGCAGAGTACAATTTAGACTTGCCCTACCTTCATGATTCTCTTTTCTGAAGGCTTAGAGTGAAGCTGCCACAAACAAGGACATAAACCCTGTCATGCATGAGCCCAGTGTGGTGGTAGGCAGAGGCTGTAGAGGCTCTTTGTACATCTGTAGTTATTTCTATCAAGGGGGACAAAATCGTCCCTAAAGAGCCTTTCAAATATTTTTTGTGTGAGCCTCTCAGCAGATTTCTGCTTGAAGTAGCATAAAATATGGGTCAAGCAAGAATTATGGAGTGAGCCAGAAAGAACTTTCTCCCTCTGGGGTTTAGTTGCACGCTAGGAAACCTGAAGAGAAAGATTAGACAGATTGTGCCAGATAATCCTGATGCCTAAACTACCCTTTTGTGTTTAGAAATCCCTGCAGATGTTTTTTTCCAAGCCAGTTGGTTCAGCTGAACACAAGCTCAGTCGTTTCAGAAGATGGGAGCAACCCAGAGAGGAGAGTTTTAAAAAACCGTTTCCTCTAACCCATGCTCAAACTAAAACAAATGGAAGCATTCCTAAAACCTTAAATATTAACTGAGTTGACCTCAAATATATCACATTTTAAGTGTGTTTTGAAATTTCTGAGCTATTTTTGATATTAAGATTTTAGGTGAGTTTTAACTTTAGAAACAGTATTACAGGCTGAGGAGAAATGTCCCTCCACCCCCGGCAATGAGTTACGAGACATTGAACGAGTTGGAGAGGTTAGGGGAGGAGATGAACCATCCAGTAAATTGCGTGAGGGAATTAAGATTAAGCTTTCCTTGGTGTGGCCGAGTTGTAGGAGAAAAGCCTGAAGCTACTTCCACAAACCACTGCTGGAAACTCCGCTTTCAGTCAGGCTCATTTCCGCACCTGCCAAAGAAGAGTTTCATACCTCGCATGTTGCCATGGTGAACTCTTAACTAAGCCATCACTCTGTGGGAGCTGCTCTCTTGGGCAAGTGGTAGGGGGTGACTGGGCTGGGAAGCCGGGTGGCCACCGGGAGTAGAAGGGATTATTGGGTGCAAAAGGCGGTAGCTAATCAGTGTCCCATTCTCTTCTGACTGGAAGTTGATGGTCACTTTTGGTCAGAAAGAATTT